ACGAGAGTTCATTTTTGCAAGTGTTGATTGCCTTGTGCCTTCGAAGAATTCTTCATCATCAAGTTCTTTGTGAGGGAAATCTTCACACCTGGTTTGCCTTTTTATTACGATTAGAAAGGTTGGTTAGAGTTTATTATCAAGTTTACCTAGTTAATTATGATTAGGAGAGTTAGTAGGACAACTATCAATCTATCTTCACCATCGTCATCATCATCACCATCATCAAATCGCCCACACCTTCATCAAACCAAGTTTGCATTAACCTCATAGTTATTAGGGAAATTTTTAATTTCAAATTTTCATTAGATTTGTTTATCTTTTTATAATTTGTTTTGCATGTATTTAATCTTTAGTTTATTCTCTTTCTGGCTAGTATTTCTTTGATTTATTCCATGTCAGCAATAATTTTGCCAAAAACCCTAATTTAGCTAAGTTATTCATATCCTTATTACATTCTTTGTCTTCTTTTTATTTTCTTATCTTTATTCTATCTTTATTATCTTAATCTTATCCCCTTATTTAATTTCTAGGAAAGCCTAATTCCTTAAAACCTTAAATTTACCGTCGCCCCTTCATCTTTTTTTCCTCTAGTTCTTTGATCGAGTCTAGATCTTTCTAGGTTTGATTCTTTAACAACAAGAAATGCTCATCATTCTACTGTCGTCCCCTATCAGTATTTATACATTGGGTCTATTGAATTTGCTTAATAGAAATATCTTTGAAAGCCAATTAAGCTCTCTAAGATCGAGTCTATGAAAAGAAGACATCAACTATATTGAATGGTTGAATAAAAGGGAACGAAAATCTGTGGTTTATGTGAATTATAGGAGTACAACTGTGATGTATGATTATCATCTCAAAGAATTTGATTGGGAGATGGAAAACAAAAACATATGTTTTTATTGATCATAATACCTGATGTTGTGATAGGGGAATCAATTGTTATTTCCGAAGAGTTCTTCGAGGTGGTTAAGGATAGAGGGTTCATTAGGAGTTGGTGTTCGTAAGATCTAGTGTTGTCCCATTGATCCATCACGATTTTTCTCATATACTATAGATGAAACTTGATGTTGGAATCCATTTTGAGAGGTGTGCCTTTGGTTTGTCGGCTCTTCTTTGTCGAACAACAAATGAATTGTAGATTTGTATACACCTCGTTTGGCATTGGCATGGAAGTTAACCCTGATATAAACCAAAATGGTGTTGAGGCTCTTTTGAAAGAAATGATATGAGGTCAGAATAAGAAGAAAATGAAGGAAAACACCCTAGATTGGAAGGAAAAAGCTGAAGTTGCCATTGATGTAAGAAGAACAAGAAAAAGAAGAATAAGAAGAAGGGAGTTAACGAGAAGTAACCTACCACGTCAGGTAAAACTAACATGAGGTAACATCAAAGATTTTTTTTGAAAATGAACTATAAGTTCAGTGACTGTATTAAGTTGGGTGACCAAAATACAAGCACCATAAAAGTTCGATAACCATTTAAGTAGTTTACCCAAAAATTTATTGAGAATTTCTTACAAAAGATATAATTTAAGAGATAAAAAAACCTTTAAACCAAAAAATATTCATTATAACACAAGGATAGATCAAAGGGATCAAATGGGGCAATCACCTATTAAAGTATGCCCAAAGACCAATCATATGATGATTGTATTATCATAGATTATTCATCATATTTATTGCATAAAGGCATTACTGTTATTTTCTTTTGTTATATTTTTGTGCATTAAATATGCTAAAATATAATAATGTCCATATAATAATATGGTTATTATTAAAAGATCCTTACTTAAGTATTATTATGGGCATGGACAATAATAATACGGTTAAGACAATCATATTATTGATTGATGACAATGAGTTGTCATTGACATAGAGATGTCAAAATTGATATATGAATATATTGTTAGAGAACAATGTATTGGATTGACCTGCCATGAGCATATGACTTGGATTATTATGTGATGTTCACGATATTGCTCATGGTGACAACTATATATATGATCCTTAGACTCGAGATCATTACTATCTCAACATATATTGTTGTATGTTTTGATACAGTTAAACATGCTCCATAATTGGTTGCACTACAAATACTGTTATTAAATATATGTAGTGAGATGTGAATGATTAAGATATGATTTGTCATTCCTACATAATAGGAAATATATCACAGGCCACTTGATTGAGTGGGACTAGAAATGCATGACCATGCTCGAATAAGTAGATATGAGATATCACAAATTATTCGTTAAGTATAGTCTACTCTAGATATCAAGAAACAATAGATGGGCTACACAAGTGTGACTATTCCAAGACTTGTGCATACTCTAGATATAAATGATAAAATGATGTAATACATAAAAGATTTAATCATGAAGATGATATGTCAAATCATGTTTTCTTGTAACTTAGGTGACAATGATATATTGCTAGATGTCACTCATTGTTTGTAATATTAGAATGGTCCTAATAATTGCTACTAATGTTATAAGAACCTATAGGGTCACACCCTAGGGTTGAAATAAGCAAATATGTACAATTTGTTGTACGTTATTAAAATATATATCTAGAGTTAATATATGTATATTTGATAAACATATGATTTTAATTATCCCGAATATAGTAAATAAACATCAAAAGAATGCAATTCTGATTACAACTCTTTTAATGGATATTTAATTCGAAATAATTAAATAAGGATAAAATAAATATTAAAAGAATGTAATTCATATTATAACTCTGGATATTTAATTTGAATTAATTGATTAATAATTTAATTAATTCGAAATAACTAAACCCTAAAAGTTAGGATAACTCGGGTATATAAAGACAAGTAAGGTCTAGCAACCATCTTGATCTTTAGCCGATTTTCTCAAAACCATTTTTGGGAAAAGTTAAAATTTTGCTCTCAATTGGGTGAACTAAGTAGAGGCCGAGGCATTTTCGTGGAGGCTTACGCTTCGAACCGTTTGTGATCACCATTAGTCGATGTTGTCTATGCTGTTTTTTCAAGGAACCCAATGTAAGTATTCGAATCCCTTCATCTCGATTTTGGATAAACATACATGGATTGCTGGTGAGACTGTCACATTTTGTCATTTTGTTTTTGTTGCTTCAAGGGGTGCGCCGACGATCACAACATCACCCCATAAAAGTTTTAAATTTACATATATTTTATTTATATTTTCGTTTAAAAATATTTTTTTCATCTCTCCTAAAATTATATCGGCTTATTATCTCTTTAAATTTTATAAATTCGCTTTCTAACATAAAATCTTACATTCATTCATAATACTAATAAATAGGGTAAACTACACATTTAGTACCTAAACTATCAATTTTGATCTATTTTAGTATCTAAACTTTCAATTTTTTTCAAAATCATACCTAATGTTTAATGTTTATTTCATTTTAGTAACCACACCATTGAAAACTCAATGCGTTTAGTACCTAAACTATCAATTTTGATCCGTTTTAGTAACTAAACCTTTAATTTTAACCTTTAGGTATGATTTTGAAAAAAATTAAAAGTTTATGTACTAAAACAGACTAAAACTGATAGTTTAAATATTAAATACATAATTTACCCTAATAAATACTATAAATACCTAAATAATTACACACCAATAATATTTCCTTAAAAAAAATTCTGCTTTCAATATTTCTCTAACTTTATCAATTTGAACAAGCGAAAATATTCTTGAGAATAATTTCCCATAAATATGTGTGTCCATAGGTTCTAAATTGAATCAGTTCTGTGTAGTGGTAATGTAGTAGTAGTTCATCCATTATATGCGAATATAAAATCAACCCACGAATTCCATTACGAAATACCCCCCCCCCCAACAAACCCCCATAAAGTGGGCCCCACAACTCCTCCAAGATACCCTCCGGAAAAAAATCTCAGCCCTTGGATTAACATTAAATGGAAAGGGAAAAAGATCAGGGTCGTGCATTACATCCCATCTCGAATTTCGCCCATTTTCTGACAAGATCCCCTCCGACGTGTGACTTAACTGCATTGAATCCGGGGTTCAAGTCCGGGCTTTGAAAAAATTGAAAGCTAATTTAATTCGTATCCCCAAAATAAAGGTTAAAATTCCTCACTTTAAACACTATGCTGTCTCTGTGTCAAGCTGTGAATGATTACAAAGATTTCGTAAATCACTCCTTTTTCCTTTTCGATTTTCAGCTGATATCAGGTAATTACCCCTCATATTTTTATCTTCTTTTTCTTTAGAATTTATGGTTTTTTTGTTGGGTGAGCTACAAATTTTGCGCTTCGGGTGCTAATGTTTTCGAAATTGTGAAATTTTGGTTTCTTTTAGTAGTCTTTGTGGGAAAACTTTCGGGTGTTAGTTTAGTTGCTTTAAAATTTTGAAAATTGACAAGTTTTCAATTTTCAGATTTATGTTTATTTTCCTGTCCAAATTGAAAATCTCATTAAATTAAGCTTAATAGATTTGGTTTTAGGTTTGTTAAACTGTGGTTTATGATTTGTATAGGTAGAGAAACAAAAGAAAAAAATTTGCGAGATTTAAATTTTTTTGTTCATCTCCTCCCTGGACCCAGAAATGGTTCATTGTTATTTGTTTCGAATATTTAGTTCTTATGGGTCAACTTTGTGGGTTTCACCATTTTTCAAAATGTGCAGTCGTTTGGTTCTCTAATATTGCAATTCAAGTCTGGAAATGCTTTATTTTCCTTTTTAACTATGAGGCTTCGACTCCCATGTTTTCTTCACTGTAGTTCATTTCAGTTAAAGGAATTTTTTTCTTTCCTTAAATTGAATGTTTGTAGATTTTTCGGCTTAAATAGAGAGTGCAACCCTTTTTCTTTTTACAGCCATTTGTTCTTTTATTTCATGGGAAGCTTAGAAGAACTTTATTGTGTGTGAAGCAGACATTCATTTTGTTATGTGAAAAGACTGCAATGGAAATTTCACTTGCAAAATTAGTATGCCTGCCAATTATTCCCTGATGTATTAGTAATTAGTATTCTAGTGGGGGTATGGTGTTTGTTGCTGGGTGTTGTAGGGTATGTTTAATGGTTCTTTTGTTTTTTGTGTAATTATTTGTTTTATTTTGATTGCTGCACAAATTTTTATGTTGTTTTCAGCTAGTTTGTTATTCCATCCTACAGCTTTGGAAGGTTAGAGAAAACAAAGTAAAGCATTTATTTGGAATTGGTTTGATTATGGGTGAAGAAGAAACGAAGACCAAAGTCCCTGACCCAGTGGCTAATGGGACAACTCTTCCCGAAAAATCTGTTGAAGTTGCATCGGAGATAAAAGAGGAAGAAGACAATGGTATAAAGGAAATGGAAGAAGATAAGAAAAATGAAGAGAAAGTTGAGACTGAGAAGATGGATGAAGATCAACGGGTCGAGGAAGACAAGGAAAGGAAAGAAGTGGAAAGTGAAGCAATGGAAGAAGATGCCAAGAAAGTTGAGGAGGAAAACAAAGATGAGGTGGGTGAGAAAGTTGAGTTGAAAGAAGATGCAGAGGAAAAAGAAGTGAAGGCTGAAGAAGAGTTGAAAGAAGACACAGAGGAACAAGAAGAGAAGGCTGAAGAAGAGTCAAAAGAAGATGCAGAGGAACAAGAAGAGAAGGCTGAAGAAGAAGATGAAGAAGAGAAGGCTGAAGAAAGTCAAGAGGAAAAAGGTTCAAAGAAGTGCGGGAAAGTTAAAAAGACTGTGGAGAAAGTTAAAGGGAAGACAAGAAAGTCGGAGGATAAGGAGCCAGAGCAAAGAACACCTCTCACTGATCGACCTGTGCGTAAGCGGAAATCTGTTGAAAGACTGGTTGCATCTTTTGAAAAAGATGTTTCTAGGGAATTCCAAATTGAAAAGGTTCCCTCCCCCCCTTTTTCTTGGATATCTTTTATTAACAATATAGATGTTTAAATCTCATTTGATGGCGCAATAGAAATTAATTGGTTGCATTCGAAATTGCAGGGCAAGGGTACTCCACTTAAAGATATTCCTAATGGTGTGTTCTCTAGTTCTTATACCACTCAAGTTATTGGGTTTGTTACGGACAATGTCCTAAAATGGCTTTGTATGATGCTATATTTGTAAATCTTAACAGCTCGTTTCTCCTAATGCTGTTCATTATTGATTTCATACAGTTTGCATTGTCAAGAAAACATCTGAGACGTTGCTTCTTTAGTTTAATCTTGCTACTCCCTTTGCCGTACATATTTCTACTACGTTCCTTTAATGTGTATTGATATTCTTTTTCCTTTAAAGTTTGATGTGTTCCGGTATTTGATATTAGTTTAGAACCATGAGTTGAGTGAAATGACATCTGATATGTCATATTCTGCAGTGGCCTTCAAGTTGTCTAGACGGAAGACTGATGACACTTTCAGACTACTTCATACTGTTCTCTTTGGGAGGAGAGGGAAGGTAATTTGATTGTTGTCAAATTTTTTGTATGTTACTGTCTAGCATTTTGGATGTGTTGTTTCATCCTCTTGCTTTGATGATAAGAGCTATTGGTTTGCAAGCACGCATAAACAGAGTTTATAGTGCTGCATGTGTGCATGAGTACAGGCATGACTCATTCAAAGAAATAATTCTTGGATGGTTCTGGTTTGCTGCTGTAGTACTTTGTTGATTTTTCTTTCAGTTCACTCACGTTCCTTGCTCTTTGCAGGCTGTTCAGATTAAGAGTAATATTTCCAGATTTTCTGGTTTTGTGTGGCATGATAATGAGGTAAGAGAGGATTATAAAATTATGAAGCTGTATGTATGTTACAATTAATTTATTTTTCTGTATGAATTGGACTTTTTGTGCTTTAAACCTTCTAGGAGGCTTGTAGTTTTTCTACTTGGTTATGCTGCCTATGAGGTTGATTGATATTAGTGCGCTATAGTAGGTTTTCTTAAGCTTATTTGATTCAAATGTTTTGATAATTGCAGGAAAAGCAAAAAGGTAAAGTAAAAGAAAAGTTAGATAAGTTTAACAAAGAAAAGTTATTAGAGTTCTGTGATGTGCTTGACATACCAGTTATGAAGGCTACTACAAGGAAGGTTTGTCATACTACTGTAATTTCTGCTTTAATTCTGCCTATGTGTCAATGAAATGATGGCTAGGCTGTTTGATTAGTTAAGATCATTGTCTCAGTAGTACTACTGCAGATGACAAGTGTAATTTATATGAGAACTTATTAATAATCCGACTTCCACAATCCTGTACAAAATGCTAGTTTTGTTATTGAAGAAATTGAATTTCTCTAACTGGTGTTAATAAGCCTAAAATGGGCATGCAGGAAGATATCATTACAAAGCTGATAGACTTTTTGGTTGCCCCTCATGCTACTACTACTGTTCTACTCGCAGAAAAAGAAAAGGTTACATTTTCACCTACTGCTTTTTCTAAAGTTCCATTTTCACATGCTTATTTTCTAACCTGTAGTGTTTATTTTTTTTACCCAGTCAAGTAAGGGTAAAAAGCGCAAAAGGGCTACGAATTCTGGAACTACAACTACGCAATCGACCAGGGTATTACTTCTTCCTTGTCGACATCAGAAATCTGATATTTTTTTAACTATTGGAACTTTTTGTTAGGACAATCACCTCTGGTTACCTTGTTTAAGGAAATTCTAGTTTACCATTGTATAGCTCTCCTGTCTGTAAATAATTTGTGCTGTGCTATACGAATGCTTACTATTATGTTTTTGGCCAGGGACTCGGGAATTGTTTTACTTCTTTTTAAATTAATTTTCTTAGTTATTTTATTAGGTTTCACCCCTTACTGTATGTATCATGCAGAGTCGTAAAAAGAGTGAGGATACTCAAAAATCAGGGAAAAAGAACACTACTGATTCAGAGGATGAGTCTGAAGAAGATGGAGAAGAAAAAGAAGAAGAGGAACAGAACGAAGAAGAGAGAAAGGAAAATGGAGTTGCAGAAAAATCTGAGGACGAGATGCCTGAGAATTCTGAAAGTGATGAGAAAAATGAAACTGAAGACGAATCTGAAGAAGATGCAAAGAAGAAACGGAATTCAAAAGTAACATCTAGAAAGCAGGAATCTGCTGGAAATGCTAAAACCAAGAAAATCACAACTCCCAAAAGGTCTACCACACAGAAAAGAACCCTGAAAACATCATCTGCTAAAAACTCAAATGCTGATGATGATAGTGATGAAAGTCCAAAGGTGTCTTCAAGGAAGAAACCTAAGAAACTCACCAAGGAGAAGTCTTCCACACCAACGAAATCTGCCTCCAAGGAGAAAACCAGTAAGATAGTGGCCTCTGCCTTTTGTTTTTGTTGATACCTTCTGTCAAGGAAATTGAATAATGGTACCTCATGGTCAAATTTGTGATATTGACTTTTGGTTATGAGTATTTATGGTAATATGTTTTTCTTCATGTTTTAAGGCAAAAGAGCTGTAAAGGGGAAGGACAAAGCTAAAGAGCAGAAACCGAAGCCAAGTGATCATGAACTAAGGGATACAATTTGTAAAATTCTTAAGGAAGTGGACTTCAATACGGTAAGATATGCTATTAATATACAACTAAAATAGCTGCATCCTTTACTAGACTTTCTTAACAGCGTTTTTTGGTCTCTTCTTGACTGCTAAGACTTTTGGTTTGTGAATTAGAAGTTAGGTTATCAGGACTTTGAGTTCAGTGCTAAATGGGCTATCCATGGATAATAACTGTAGTATCCATCTCCTTCATTGATTGGAAAGAATAATCTCTAAGGATCATTGACTGCTAAAACTATTTGGTCTGATTTTGTCACCTCTAAACCAAACATTCATAGCTGTTTGATTGAGTGCAATCCTTCTGTTGATGTTTTATTTTTAATCATTTCACTGAAGAATTAGTTCTGGAAAGATGGGTTAAATTCTGCTTAAACTTGCCAGTGTCGAAATGGGGGTGGACTCTTTGCCATCGTTGTTCTGGGAATGTTTATTGAAAAAAGTACTGCTTTTCATTTCATCGTAGATACTGCTTCCTATGTTCTTGCTGACATAAATTGTATTACTTTATTCTGCAGGCTACATTTACCGACATTCTGAAGCTTCTTGGTATGCATCTTTCTTTTCACTTGGTTCTTTCAACAGTGTTATATAATAACACTTCTAAAATAGACAATGTTGCTTCCTATGGTGCTTCCTATGTTCTTTCAACTGTGTTGGATTATGAAAATAGACAATGAAAGCAATACTTTTAAATGGCTAATTTTGTGCTTTATCTGATAAGTCTTGGTAATCACTTTGCATTTTGAATTTCATTGTAATATTTTGATGGCACCTTGACTTGGAACTTGAAATGCTTTTTTTATGGGTGTGATGCCCACATTTCTAGGATGTAGACTTTCATAACGGTGAAATGTCTTTACTTTCAGCAAAACATTTCAATACCGACCTCACCCCGAGAAAGTCATCGATCAAGCTCATGATCCAGGAAGAGCTTACGAAATTAGCCGATGATGCCGGTGATGAAGACGAAGAAGGCGATGCCGAGAAAGATGAAACCCAATCTGCTGGTCAAGAGGTTCAAGCCTGACCCTACAGGATGGAGTAGTAACTACATGGAAACCAAAAAAACGTGTTGGTATTGATGTCTTTGTGCCAATATGTACTTTCTAGCTATTTACTTAGCAGGCTTGTTTGTAATCTATTGTTGCTTCTTTCGGAGAGCAAATTAGCATTTATGGAATACTAGAGAGGGAAACTGGAGTCACTTATCTGTATTGCAGGATTATACATTTAATTAACAATCTGTAGGTACTTTCACTATCTGCAAACCGAATATTTGGAGTTACAGAACACAACTGTTTTAGTATTTTGAGTGTTTTTTTGTTAGTCTTGAGAACTATGTAATGTTGGGCGTATCATTTTGTGTTCTACTATTGGATTGTACATGTACTAGTGTGTTTTGACATACCGTTTTGGATTTATAGGTAAGTTTAATTTATTTTCCACATGTATGTATTCTATTCGTATAAACGTGTTTACATGCAAATCTAAAATTTTAAATTGTTAATTGCATTCAATAGTTTGATTTGATGATTATATTTTATCTTTAAACTTAATTTAAAAAATACAAATGGTTTAAAATGTCATATTCTTCGGTAGTTCTATTTTGGGGTAGAGAAACGTAAGGTTAATTTGTGTCGGGTTTTAATATAAAATGTTATCTATTTAAAACGTCATTCAATTGGTAATAATTTTAGTTATGGTTGAGAATGTTATATTGTGATTTGATTTTAACTTAAAATGTTATAATGTCTATTTTAAAAGGTTATATAAATTCGATTACAATTTAAAAAGTTATACAACTTTGATTACAGTAACCATTTAGTTTGCAATCAGAATAATTATGCAATTTAGATGATTTGTTATGGAGAACATAATATTTTTGTTTTAACTTAAAATGTTATCTAGTTTATTCTAAAATCTTCTGTAGTTTTGATGTGCGACGGGACACCTAAGCTTATTTGTGGTGAGTTTAATGGCGGTTATTGTCCGGACACCTAAAGTGATAATGTTTGGAACGTTACATAAATGAATCAAAAAAAAAGAAGAAGTTTAAACACTTATTTAAGAAAAATGGTATAGTTTTAACACTTATTTTATAATTAAGCCTTAAAAATGATTATTAAACCGGTCTAAAATTGTCTAATAATAATAATAATTTGATCATTTAAATCATTGATTCAATTTTTAAAACATTAATTTTGATATATATATCATTGAAAATACTTAAGATTTATTTGAACCCAATTCTTAAAATATTGAAACTTTAAATAATATGTAATTATTAAATACACTTTTCTTTTTTCTTCATGAATGGATTGAGGGAGTCCGATAGAGATGATTGCTCTCTCGAAAAATTTTAAATTCTCTTATATCCTAGATTTTTTTTATAATTTTATTAATAATATATTTTTAATCCTTCAAATTTTTTTATAAATTTGTTTCTCTGTAATTTATTAAGTTGATTCCCCCGGTATAAATCTTACGTTTGTTCTCTAATTTTTTCTTTCATTTTATACTCCAAGGAATAATTTTTTATGATTTCAGCGTATCAACCATTAATCAACCTCCTAGCCCCTTTCTTCCTTCTCATGGAATCTTTTCACTTTTGATTTCTCTTTTTTTGACAATCCAATTGCTATCTTTATAGCGGAAGATAATAAAAAAAAGTAAAAATAAATATATTAACAATAAATATTTAACCATAAAATAACATGACAAAAAAAATAAAGTGATGGTTGAACATATTGAGTAAATGTTAATTGATCCACCATACAAATTTAAAGATTATATAAATATTATGAGACTTGTTCCTAGCTGATAACTTTTTGTTGTAAGAATGATTATGAAGAAACTCTATTAATTCTATTGGTTTTATTTATATACATATTCAGTTATAAAGGATAATTATTTTTGAAACTTATTTTGTCCTCAGAACTGTAGTTGGTCTTGGCGAGGCTTACTGAGCATGAGGCAATGAGAACTTCAGATTCCGGGGTTGCTGGCGGGTTTGGTCTCCTCTACTCGAGAGATTTGGAAAGAGATAAGGGTGGAAAAGGATAAGGAGAATTGGGGGAGGCTTGTGTGGCATCTTGGTCACATCCCGAAGTTTTCAGTTACATCTTGGATGGCAATTCTGAATAGGTTGCCCACGAAGGACAAACTTATTTCGTTTGGAATGCAGGTGGACGGGGTTCGTGAGCTATGTTTAGGTGAACTGGAGTCTCGTGACCGCATTTTTTCACTTACAGTTTTTCAAAGGTCGTGTGGGAAGGAATTCTTCTCCTCTGTCACTCGCAAAGGAGGGTGCTAGATTGGTCCCATGAGTTGATTTGGGCTTGCTGTTGCTTGTGCGGTAAATCTTTTTACTGAAGCTTGCATAATATTGCTATATTGCTCGTACATGGAGAGAGGAACCGAGACATTTCTTAGGGGTATCGGCTACTGTGCTTTGCGTGGGGTTTGCTGGTTTGAAGTGGCTGGAGCTGGTTTCATTAGCTATTGTTTTATTTGATTGATTCTTTGGTGATTGTGGCCGAGATGTAAGTTAGATATAGGTGACTCCTTTGTTCTTTGGTTTGAGTGGGAATGAAATGCACATATTCGTCATATTCGGTTAATTATTTAGAGAAATATCATTAAAGTTCTCTTAAATGTTCTATCAATAATTTAACAATTTCTTAACTAGGCGTGATGCTTTCTTGATATGAATTCTACGTTTGATTTTTATTCTTAACAATTCATATTCTTTTTAGTTTTTGGTTAGTAAGATTGTGATGTGTCACTAACTTATTAAAAAAAAGTAATTTATTGGAAAATATGATACGTGAGTGTTAATTCATTCACCATTAATAATTTAATGATAAAATAAACAAAATGAGAACATTTTTAACAACAATAATTACAATAAATACTTTTCTATTTAGATGAGCAAAATGTAATCACCATAAAAAAAATTGGTGACAATTTTCGTGTAGTTTTATTTTATAATGATCATATTGAGTTGAATTTAGTACCAAAATTTTAGAATTCGTGGATTAAAACAGGATGACTAATGAACTAAATGGTTCAGTTCCAAGAGATGAAACTAGGGATGACAATTTAATTCGAAATTGGTGGGTTTCGATCCGATCTAATCAGATAGGGTCGATTTTTAAAAAAAGTTGAGTACGGTCGGGTTAGGTTCGGATGAAAAAACTCTAATCCGACCCGACCCAGGGATAATAATGTAATTTCTTCAAAAATATATTATTTTTTATTAAGTCCTTATTTTATACCGGGTCGGGTCAGATCAGGTCGAATTTATATTCTAAAAGTTTGGGTCAGGTCAGAGTCAAGTGGAGGATATATTTTTTTCGAGTCGGATCAGGTTGGATAGAGAATATATAATTTTCGAATTGAATCTGATTCGAGTGGAAGATATATATTTTCGGATCGAATCGATCAGAAATCCACTTTCGGAGCTCATCAAGGTGTCATTTAAGAAAATGACTTCTGCTAAATTCATCTTTTAAAATTCGGATCGTATCAAGACTATCAAATTCAAGAATAATTTGACGTAAACCCGCTTTCTATGCATAAAATAAACCACAGTAAACTCCCTAAAGCTCAGCATTCAAGACCGTACAAATACCTATGAATTCAGAATATCCAAAACATCAATTACCGAAGTTAGTACGAGCTGTACCGCCACACATAGTATAACCATTAGCCTCACTCCGAGCCCCGTTGGTATTAATTTTGATCCACTGCTGTTGCGGGGAACATTGCACATTCCTTTGAGCAGGTATGCCATTCTTTGATCTAGGCAGTCGGGGTTCAGCTAACGCACGGGTAGAGATCTCAACTAGTTGCTTGCTCCGATTAAAAACAGTACCATGATCGACGACCGACTTATTGAAAATGCACTCATTCCGGTAAATGTTGGAAGTCAAAAATTGAAGTTGGAAATTGTTGAAAAATTGGCAACACATGGGCAGCTAAAATTGATCTAAATTAGGCAGTCATTTTAGTTGAAAACTGTGAAGGAATAATTATATTTTAGTCCCTACATACTTTAGGGTATTTACAAGATTAGTCTCTAAGCTTCAACTATAAATACCCTAACTCATTTAGCTTCAAAATCATCCTAAATTATTTATTTATCCAAATACTAAAGAGTTTAGAGAGTTTCCTTGTGAGTGTTTTGTAAACACCTGTAAATTTTCTCTCTTTAGTAAAAGATCTGTAGCAGTCCGGAGACGTATGCATAATTGGCTGAACTCCATTATCAATTCCAGGTATTATTTTTCCGCTTTTATTTCACATTCTCACTAATCTGGTTACAGGGAAATTACTCGTTTATTTCCCAACAACTGGTATCAGAGTTTTTGGTAGTGAATTTTTGTCGATTTTTCTGCGAAGTTACTATTCATTACTATTCACATGAATAGTACTTTTTTGTCGACGATACGAATTTGTCGACAGATGTGTTCTAATACACGGTGGTTCGCAGAAATTGTCAGAAATGATCCAAACGAAGCCAGATTCGAGTGGAAGCGATGGCTGCAGACGAAGGGAATGTGAAAATTGAGAAGTTCGATGGTGTGGACTTTAGCTTTTGGAAGATGCAGATTGAAGATTTTCTGTACCAGAAAAATCTATATCAACCCCTCTCAGGAAATCAACCAGAGGGCATGAAGAATGAAGACTGGGCTCTTCTCGATAGACAAGCCCTCAGAGTTATCTGACTGACGTTATCCCGCAATGTTGCTTTCAACATAGTAAAGGAAAAGACTACGGCGGGTCTTATGGCGGCTCTCTCCAGTATGTATGAGAATCCATCGGCCTCAAACAAAGTTCATTTGATGAGACGAATATTCAATTTGCGGATAGCGAAAGGGGCATTAGTGGTTCAACACCTAAATGAACTCAACACAATCACAACCCAGTTGTGTTCCGCGGAAATTGAATTCAATGATGAAGTTCGAACTTTAATTCTCTTATCATCTCTACCCGACAGTTGGAATGCTACTGTTACTGCAGTCAGCAGCTCGTCGGGAAAAAGCAAATTGAAATTCGATGATGTTTGGGACCTAGTATTGAGTGAAGAAATTCGACGGAGAGAATCGGGTGAAGCATCAAACTCCTCAGCCTTGCACACGGAGTCTAGAGGGAGAACTTCAAAAAGAAATTCAAATCGTGGCAGATCGAAATCTAGAAGGGGAAAATCAAGAACATGAAAGAAAGATTTCAACTGTTATAATTGCGGCAATAAGTGTCACTTTAAAAGAGATTACTGAGCACCGAAGAAAGA